AACATAATTTCCTGATGATTGCATGATACTCTCTGATATTAAAAACATGGTTAAAGGTGTGATTGACTGTGTTTCGTTACGGTAGATATGAAAATAATGACAAAAATAACAATATTTTGGCAGCCATCTTGAAATCAAATATGCGATAGTGGCCACCTGACATAATTTTTCATTATTGCATAATACTCCCTGATATTGAAAACATAGTTAAGGAACTTTGAATGACATTGCTAGGTGCTGTAGATATGAAGATTATTGATAAAAATGTAATATTTTGGCGGCCATTTTAAATTTCAAGATAGCGGCCACTAAGCGGCTTATTTTTTGGGGTCTATTTTTTGTAATGATCCTTATGTGTCATAGTATCACTGTGGGAAGTTTCATGCTTTCTTCCAAAAGTGCACGATTTTTCTCCTTAGCCGCTCTACTATAAGGCATTTTGAAAGTGGTCCAGCCATTATTAATAGCGGTGGGGTGGGGAGGGGTGTGGTGCTTTGACAAAGTGGGCGTTAAATTGCAGACCCGATACCGTTATTCACCTCATCCAGGTCGGATCGGAACAAGTTAGGGGTGTTGACTTCATATCTACCCCATTTGGTGAATACATTATTGTGCAGCAGTGGGAAAATTATGGAGCTACGTCTACTCCTCTCCCTAAAGGAGTACCAATAGTGCGAGTCATGCGAGGCACACACAATTTCACGCTAATAAACACTTGTACAATTTAGAAAACAACTACTGTACAATAAGGATTTAACTACTTTTAACGTAATTATTATTATGGTAAAAATACAATGTCCAGCTATCCAGACGTGACTTCAAATAGGCCTATAGTGAAGCTATACATTTTCATTCACACTGCCCATTCGCACCATGGAGGGAGAACCTTATTTATTTTTCACAAAATACCAGCAATGACAATTAAAAAACTTGAAACCAAACACAATTGAAAGAGTATACGTCATAATTTAAAATGCATAACATCATCATTGGCACCGTCAGTCTCAAAGACTATGTTGAAAAAAATTATGGGATTTTACATCAACAGCAACACTAGCATCAATCTGTCAAGTTAAATTTCAGTGCACATGCTTGTTGGTGACTAAAAAATCCAATTCTTGAGGAGCATTAGCGCTGACAGTATGAACATGTGAAAGATAATTCTGAGCTGGCCTGTGCTTTACGTTTTTCTCTCCTTGAATTACATTCTTCTCTATAGTTTTCTTCAAACAAAAGAATGCCTAACAGACTATAATTAATTTATGGGTAGCATCCTGTGATCCATCATGTTTTAAAACAATTAAAAATGTCATATTATTTATTCAAATAAACGCCCTACTTTGAATAAACTCCCCCTCGGTTAAAAGTCCAACCCCCCTCCCCCCAAAAAAGGTCACTAGGAATTAATGCGGGGCGTTTAATTTCTCTTCGAATTGTCTCTAAGTCTATGGACGGAATTGGAAGCAACATAATTTAAACATTGAATTAATTATTAGTGTTTTACCCTAGTGGAATTATTTAATTCACTGATAATTAGGGATTTATAAGCCATGCAAAAACACTTTTTAACATTAATTATGCATAGTAGACTACATTTACCAGTAAACGCTGGCTCCTCAAAAACAATATGAACAATAAACGCTCCGGGGTGCATTCGAATAAATGCGGTACCGGTATATTATAATTATTACTGTATATATAAACGTCACTTAATTATCTGACTGTAATGCCAAATAATATAAAAACAAAGGAATGATTACCAATCTAATTATAACAAATCAATGCATGTGAAATGATGGGAGAGGATGATGGAGCTATGTGTGGCACATTTAGGGAGTCTGTACTGATAATAGTTCACAAGTTCGTGGTTATGGTAATCCTCAAAAGTATAGAATAGGCCTAAACCCATATTTTAATATT